GCTTCGAAATATTTTAGTATGTTCAAAGAAAACTTTATTGCCTTTTGTTAACCCTCCCCTCCCCACAAAAACTGCTCTTTTTTCTTTAGCCCAAAATGGCAATTTGCCCAGAAGGGCTATAAATTTCGCTTTGGCATTTTGCGTCGTCAATTATAAAACGGTATTTCACTTTTAAATTGTTGCCACCAAATATTAAAGTCCTGCATTATATTTAAAGAAATTAAATAATGAAGAATCTGCATGAATGTGTGTATGCTTCTCGCATTGTGAAAAACCAACGGTACCTACAGACATCAAATTTTGAATAACGTAGTCCTCCACTCGAATATGGGCATCCGGAAGCCTCAAATTTAGAATTTGGAGCCTGCTTTATTATCTGTTTCATATTCTGTAAAATTTTAACGAATTTTTGATTGACTTAATAAACTCAACGATTTCAAAGCGAGTAATAGCAACACTGTACGAATAAAAAAGCATTTTCATTTCCAGCGCGCGACAGTGTGTATCAAAAATTCTGAAGATATGCTCTTTTTAAATATTTTCTTATACTGCTGTTTAATTGAATTTTATGGTTTAAGTGGAAGAACATGATATTTGATAAATAAAGGTAACACACAAAACGTTAAAACAACGCCTCTCTGGGCGTAATATAAAATCTGAAAGCTTTCAGAATTTTTTTTTTGACAGTTAATTGAAAACATTAATACCTAAGACTTTGTGGGTGCCCATGAAAACAATAATCACTTTTTATGCACACAAGGATCTCATACATCATTTAATGAAATATCTCTCTTTTAAATTGTAATGCTTTTCCCCACCGTGTTTTGCAACTCAGGAAAAATTTTACGTTATTTATCTTATGCATTACGACTATACAAATGTAAAATCGCACCGAATTAGAAAATGGGGAAATTTTTTGCAATTGCGAGTTTGTAAGTTGAGCGAGCAGGCATAAAAAGGGAAATCGAGAAGTCTGAGCAAGCTAAGGCAAAAAAAAAAAAAAAAAAATCTAAACTGAAAGAAAGAACTCAGTCAGTATTGTTTAGAAAGCATGGAGAGCAAAACTTCATTTCTCGTTATTAATAGCGCAACTTCATCTCACAAAGAGTTATTGTTCCGAATATTCGCCGTGTAATAAATACACCCAGAAACTATATCCAAGGAAAAAATATCAATTGCGTCTTTGATGCACTAACCGCGAACACTTATGGAAGGTTGTTTTATCTGTACAGTACTTAAACTGCTTCAATGGGAGGGGGACTTCTAGTAAATCACCGGAGAGTATTGTAAATTTCTATCTCCTGTTCCTAGAATTTCTTGGGTTTAATTTCCAGAACAAAAAGTATATTAACCCTAATGCAAGTAATCGGAAATTAGATTGATTTCCTTTAAATAATTATGAGATAGGCAGAATAACAATAAATTTAAATAAAAACAGAGTTTTTTTTATTAAGTGTCATAAAATAAAAATTAAAGTAAAAAATTGCAATCTAAGAACTTCAGTCAGCACCGATGAAGAAGTTACCATTAATTTTTTCAAAGAATTAAAAAACATTAACAAATGTGGAACATTACAAAAATTTTTTAAAAAATGATTCTGTAACGGTTACGTAACAATATGAAGTTAGAATAATTCTTTTGTTAATTACAGTAGCACTGATAATGCTCATAAAATTATCAATTGGATATAAATTACTTGTATTTTAATTTTCATACATTAAAAAAAAAACATATAAACATTTTAAAAAGCAAAATAAACATTTAAATTATTAAGGCGTACTTCTAAAACTTTTAAATGTATTAAAAAATCTCAATTTGTTAAAAAATAACAAATAGATAAATAAGGGCTATAAGATATTACGATTTGCAGAAACATAATAAGATTCCTGATTTACTAGTGTATGTGAGAGTTATGCAAAATTATAAGCAATACTTGGAAATGTTCGCAGATGTAGCAAAAGTGCAGGAGAATTCTTAGAAGTTGTATGGTTATTATTAATTAAATTATATAGTTATAATTATAATAGTTGTAATTTCAGTCTTTACTACGTATAACTACGTCTAGTATACGTCTTTGCTAAGTATTAAGAAACTACTCTTTTCCGTTTCCTCAACACAATGTAAATTAGTTAGATAATACTAGAAAGCACGGCAGTTATACGAAATGACCGCTGTTCTAGATATTATAAATTGTAATTAAAATGATTTGTGCAAAGGTGTCTGCTAATTCAAATGACCGCTGGTGGTGACTTATTGGTAGTCATAGCAAAGGCAAGTTTTACAGGAAATTGTATACGTCTCAATCGAAACGGCAACCCTATGCGTGGTAACTTCACCCCATTGACTACTACAGTTTCGCAAGCAACCAATAAACTATCGGCGACAAAGAGACACTTAAGCCGCATATAATAAAGATATTTATTTATTTCATTTTATTAGTTTTTAATCGTTGTAGGCACATATATATATATATATATATATGGGGTGAAATAACATCATATCCTCCGAAACGGCTGGCTCCCGGGCTTAGTGAAGCACACCGTTGGATTCCGCAGGTCCGTGGCACGCCATTTTGACCATTCGCGTCTTCGTGGAACTTTAATTAGCCGAGATATTCATTAAAAACTAATTTTCCCTACATTTTCCACTTTCTTTCTTGGGTTTTCCCTATTAGAGGGATTTGGCTACATGCCAAATTATTTTTTCTCGAATATCTAATGAACAACACCGAGTTGAAATTCGAGACGTGTATTCTCGTATTCCAAAATATTCTCCGAATCCATCGATACCATTCTCATTTTCGTACGACTTTAATCGGCCGAGAATTAATTAAAAACTGCAGAAACGTTAATTTCCGCGCTGATTTTCCGAGTGGCAACAATAAACTATCGGCGACAAACACTTAAGCCGCTTATATATATAAAGATTTAAACTGAGGTTTTTGGATTGAGCGTGTTTCTGGTGTGCGTGAATACGCTACGTTTAGCTCCTGCCAGCTCTGATAAGTTGTAACTATTCGACTTTGCATTATTACTGCTGACAAGAGAATTTGATACGCTGGTTAGAATTACTGAGGAAGCTGAGATTAAAATTTAGTTGTGTACTCTTTGACTACTATTTTCGTTTAAATTGAAATTGACTATTTCTGTTTAGTTGCTTGACTATGAGCAGTGGTTGATTTTTTAGCACAAAAATGTGCATTTATATTTTAAGTTCTATTTAAATAAAAAGCGTTTACTTAAACCTTTACCTGACTCTGTAGTTACTTTCAGACATAGGGATAATTAACTTTACGTCTATTATGGCTTTGAAACTAAACAATTAAAACACGACTTCAAATCTTTAGAACAGCCATTTTCATTTTTTTTTAACGATGACAATGGTAAAGAAAAAACTGGTAACCAAGGTAACGCTTTGCGACTGCGCAGATAGTCTCGCAGACGATGTGCTCGTGTATAGCAGTACGAATAGCAAAATTTTAAACAGGGACTAATACACTTTTACCAGATCAAGGAATATATAATACACAGTTTCATTGATACTTTCCCATTAGAACGTCATTACAAAGCGTGAAAATTCACCACAACTGCCGTCACCAGTTTTATGTTTTAGCAAATTAAGATAACCCTACGAAGTTAAAATGTCAAAATGTTTATTTCCATTCATGAACAAATAAAAACATTTTTTACAAAGAAAACATATTGTTTGTTCAAAAGTAAGAGTTGCGATTCACGGAAAAAACCATCTACTTCAGTTTTTTTCTTCAGTAATTAAATAGTTTGCCTAGACAAAACTTTTATGAACTTCTCTTTCAACGCTGTCACAATGGCACATTGATTCTGTAAATAATATTCAGAGCGTTAAAAGAAATTACAAACTAAGCTGAAATAATTTTTTTAATTCTCCGCCAGACGTAGAAATGACCTCCATTAGTATGTGATGGGCAGCCCAATACAATTTAGAAGCATTAAAAAAAGTAAAACAATTTTTACAGCATTAGCCTTTGCCGCGTCTTTAAATCCAGAAGTGTCCAGATGATCGCCGCAAATGTCGTCAATATCACATAATGGGCAAGATGAAGAGTCTGTTAAACCAAATCTGTGTAAGTGTTTCATGAGGTAGTCATGTCCAGTCATCTAAAGTTAGTGACAACGACAGGTCTCGATTGGTTGCAAGGAATAGGATTCTTCATTAGGGAATCCCAGACGTTTCCCTTCAGAGTCCCCATTCTTCTCTCGAAGAGGAGCTCCACATCTGACTCCAATGATTCTCATAGCATTGTGATAGAAAACAAAAGGATTTGGTTGAGGAATGACAGATCCACTCTTGGTCAGAGTGTAAGCGAAACCCGTGATTAGTTGAAAGAAGATAGTGCCGTAAGTTTTTAACTGCAAGTTACTAAAAGTATTTTAGCAGTAATTTTTTTTAACGGCAATTGAAAGAAGATAATACAGGAAGTTTTTAGCAGTGGTATGAAAAATATTTCATTGAAACACATATAAGGAATTTTTGAGTGTGATATTAATAACTGCTGTATTTAAATACAGCAACAGTGTATTTTATTTCGTGTGTTCGCTTGTGTTACCCCTATATTAATACAGTGACATTGCTTCCAAGATTGGCAGCAGCAATTCGCATGTGTGCGCTATTTGTCGGAAGTTTCCTTTCTGATAATAAAAATATTTAAACTAAATAAATAACTGTGCAAGAAAGCGTTTTCTGATGCCGCGTTTAGTGGAAAACTACCTTTTAATCAAAATGAAATGAAAAAGTACTAGGGTTCATCTGACCTGCGGTTCTAGTGCACGTCGAGAAAACTTATGACTAGTATACCTTAGATTAAGTAATTCCATTTTGCAAACTCTGATTGAAATTAACCACCTGTTTAAATAAATTTTCTGACATTTGTATGTTTGAGATGTTTTCGTGTCGCATCTGTGTTTCTGTGGTGTTCTTCTATTGCATATTTATATAAATTACTGTTATTATTATTATTTTAGGGTAAGAAAGGACAGGAAATTGTTTTCACCCGTCTCCCACAACGGCAAGTGTGGTCAGAACCAGAACCGTCCGGCTGGCCGGATGTCCGTCTCGTTGATGGAGATTCCATTCTGAAGGGTCGCCTCCAGTTGTTTTACAAGCAATCATGGCGATCTGTCTGCACTAACTCTAAAAAGTGAGTTCTTATTGTAGTTTTTATCAGCAATTTGTATGAAGTAGTATAGTCACATGCTTTTTATAAATTTTATTGTACAAACATTGCAAAGTTTGCTATGTTTGCCATTATTTGTCCCATTATGTGGAAAATGAATAACAGATAACAAATGTAGTTTTGTTAAGATGATTTGGTGCGCTGGTAAGTATAACAGAAAATAGGAAGTGCACTTAATAAGTTTAACAGTGTCGTGAAAATTACTTCAAACAGCGATCATAACGATCTTCAGAATTTGTGAGCACCCTTATGTGCGGTTTTAATATAATTAATTATTCATTCGAACAGCATAGCCATCACAAACAGCAGTAAAATTTCATTTGAATTATAATTCAAATCCTGCAATATAATAGGCTGAGAAGTCTGTTCCATTTTGCGAAATATCTTTAAAAAGTATCATATGAAAGCTTCGCTAAGATTTGATGGGTATTGAATAGATGACACATGGAAACATGCGATTTTTAATCATCAAAAAGTTTAATGTTGGTAGATTATTTGGATTTCTGACTTGTATGCGCGACTTAAGTAACAGGCATATTACACAGTATTCTGAGAGAAGGTTTGAAGTGGAATTACTCTATTTTAAGACAAAGAGATGGCATTTTTAATAATAGGATGAATACTGTTGCTTATCATGAATTACTACTGTTTTAATTACTGTCTTTTATCTCTGTAACTAAATATGAAACATAGTTTTTCAGCAAAATAACGCATCAATTTATTCAGATACTTCTAAAAAGCAATAGCTTCAAGACTTTTGTATACAAGCATTGCACTGTATAATAAGGTAATAGCTTTCCCTAATAAGTGCTGATTCAAATCTTGTTGAGAAGATAAGGAGCATATTGATAAAGAATTATAAAAAAGCGCTATGCTATGCTTCGTATTAAAACATTTATTACTGTGTTGTTACAAATTTAATGACCATTGAATAACCTCAGGTTTCTACTAATAGCAAAAAAAAGTAAGCTCTGAAGTTTATGCAATTTTTTTTCATTTCACATAACTACGTCACAAGTGGTTCATGTAGTTTAATTATTTGTTTCGTTAGATCAACATTAAACATTGAATGCTATCGATATCAAATCAATTGTGAAATTCACTCTGTTAAAGTTGCTGTAATATTACGTGTTTAAGGTGAGGATTTCTGGAGTGACTACTGTAGGAAACATTAGTAGGAAATATCAGCAGAGCCTTCGATAGAAGAACAACTAATAAGAGATTTACTTGTTGGGTTTCTAAAATTTCGTTTAGGAGATTGGAGGCTTCAAAATGAATCTAATGGCCATCGTCCTTCCATCACTGATTCGAATAAATTAAAAGATTTGTTTGAATCCAGATCCACAACAAATTACATGAAAGATCGTTAAAACATTAAATGTATATTTTCAACGCATAGCATCGCGGCATTTAGCAATAATAGAAAAAGGTAAGGAAACTTGAAGAGTTGATGCCTTACGAACTTATTGATGAAAATGAAAGCGATGTTTAGAATTGTAATTTTCTTTCTAAAGAAGAAGAAGGAACATTCCTGCAATGAGTTATGACTAGGGATGAGAAGTGGATATTCTACGACAACCGTACACATTCATGGCAGTGCTTGAGAATCAAACACTCTTCAGCAAGGACTCCCAAGACTCGCAGAAAAAGATGTTTATTGTATGGTAATTTTCTGTTGTCATTATGTAGTGGTGATGTCATTCACTATTCTTTCCTTTCATTACATGCATGAAACAATTAATGCAGCTCGATATTATGCAGATATGCGACAAATGCTTGGTAAATTGTATCATAAGAAACCAGCACTTGTGAGTAGACATGGAGTCCTATTCTTTCAGAATAACGCTAGACCATATAAGGCAGTGTCAATCATACAACAAATCAGTAATTTGGGGTACGAAATTGTGCCTCTCCGGACACTTTTCTGATTTTCACAACGATGGTAGTTGCCAAAAATTTGAGACCAAAGGTTGCTTACTGTTGTTGTAAACTGTAAAGTTAGTTCATTCTTCAAAATGAAACATTTGTTACAATGATTTCGTTAAAACGTTGTATTGTCTTTGTGTTCTAGCTGGACCGAAGAAACTCTACAGGTGACGTGTCGACAATTAGGATTCAGCGGTGGACGCATTCATCACTGGTACCCTCGCAACAACGATTCTAGTCAACTAATGTATGAAGATCCTCGATGTGCGGGAAATGAATCGTCCTTATTTCATTGCCCAAACTGGAATCTTAAGCAACTAGGCAGTGGCGTCTGTGGTAAGTGATAGTCCATTCCTTCTAATTTTACGCCAGTATTTGTTGAATTAAAATCCTGGACTAGAATAACCATTGGAAAATTGTAATTTTCTCTTAAAGATAATGCAGTAGTTATGTTTTCAGGGACTTTAAAGAACACTTTAAAAAGTCTAAAACATGCTTATGATCAATCACTGTCATTAAATTAGAAATTTTTATATCTTACAGTTGTTAAGTTGTTCTTTCACATATCATTATTTCTTTCAGTAATAAAAAGTTAAGATTACCATTTATTTTTAAATTTAGGTAAAAATCAATACTGTCTAGACTGGCATTCATTTCAGAAAATATTTCAATCAGCATTTTTCTAAAATGAACACCAAACAAGGGTTGATTCCCTTTTTATTTTAATGATGATGCACTTATTTTGCATTTTTTAATTATACATGTGCTTTTGAATTAGTGATTATTGAGAAATATGAATTGCATGTTTCTAAGTAACGGAGAAAACGATAAGATATACACAGTAGTATCATGGCAGGTTCTGTCTTTGGGAAAAAAGTATTCTACGTACGTACGCAAGTGCTTTATAGATTTAAGTTTGTAGCGGAGAATGTGAACTTAACTTAAAAGAAGCTTTGGCACCGAGCCAATTAGTGATGCAATTTTATGCGCATATAAAATAATGAAATGAAAATTCAGTGGAAAATCAACAAGAGAATGAAGGAAATACGAGATTCTTTTTCGCATATTATGTAAATCTTCAGTGTTATGGAACCCAGTTTATTGATTCTAATAATATAAAATAATATATTATACTGTTTGAGAAAATAGGAGATTACATTTTTTAAGCTTGCAACTGCTAAGCATGTAATTACAAAATTTTTTATAAACTACAGGAGTAAGAAGTATTTCTAATTTTTTAAAATAAGTCTAGGTCTTTCCAAACTCCAAAATTTTTCTTTCCTGCACTTAAATGCATGCTTCAGGTGATACACAAAATTTTATTTTGCTTTACCTTCTTTCAACCCGAATGTTCTGCAAGAAGATTATTGGTTTCATCTTTGAATAGAATTTCAGGCATAGTCATTTCATCTATAAAGAAAGCAATAACAAGTTTCTCAGTACCAAAAAATTATATTCGTCTGATCAGCAATCGACCAGTGGATAGCTATGCTAAGTTCATATGATATTATTCAGATCTTCCAAATGAACATTTTTTCCATCATTTTATGCTAATGAACATGCTAAACTTCGCTTTTTCTCTCAGATTTAAAAAACTTTTGCCAAGTGCATGATTTTATTTTTCTTCAAAGAAAAATTGATAATTTTCTTCAAATAGGAGCATCTACAGATGACCTACTTGTTCTATAAACTCGCTTCCAAATGATATTTTAAAAACTTTCCTTACATAGAGCCTAATCTTTCAACACAGAGTTTAGAGTTGGGAATGATTAGGCTGTAGGTATATACTGTTTATTGCGTAACTAACTAGCTTGCTTTCGAAGCTTTGCGAACTAAGCAAATTTCAAGTTATATCCATTCCCCTCAGATTAGAAAATTGTTTTAACGGGGATTTAATTACCTTGTTAAATGAATACATAACTACTCAAGGAAATAATAACACTGTTTGCAAAACATACAAACAATTAATTGCTTAGTAACTTTAATTTTTAACTCTATATATAATATTTTGGTAACTGTACCGTTTTTTGATCATACGAATTCTAATTCACAGTGAGTTGGTCCACAATGATACGAAGGATTTGATGCTGTATTATGCCCAGTCATTTTCTGTGCTTTTAAAAGCCAAGTGAAAGGCATAAGAAAACCAAGTTTGTTTCCGGTGGTTGGAAAGCGTTAACGCAAAGAGAAGAGCCCATACTTAGAAGAATACGTATAAATGGTTACTAACTGAAGCACCCATCAGCTTCACCTTCTTTAGATCGACTCTCCAAATATGTTATAATGCTTTCAACTCTTATTCAGAAACGTTAGATGTGAGTTCCTTATTTTGTATCCTCTAAGCATATGTCAAACAAGTATTGAGATTCCGATATATAAAATTATTTTCGTTTCGAACAGGGCAAAGGAGTCCCCTTATTTTAGTGAATTTTTTTGCAGTCATATAAGTATTTAAGCTATCAAGGGAGTAAAAATGCAGTGGAAGGATAGAAAAATCGCGTTTTCTTAACAAATGACTGGTCATTCATGCTGTTTGAAGTAACGTTTCACTGCGGTAAAAAATAAGCTTATTCAATTCATTCTGATGTAGAGCTTTTTCATTTCAATTGTCTTTAACCACTGAAATTGTTTGTGATGAATTTCAGCTGGGATTTGTTTTGAAAGGGCACAGCTGAGCCGCATCATATTTCACCAAAAAGTTAATAATTTCCCATTTTCCTTCTTGATTTCTTGCTGTATGGTTTATCATAATGTCTTTAATCACTACCGCTCAGGCAGTATAGTGTTAGCGACGCTGATTACCTACGAATGGGGCCGGATCACGGAGAAGGCATGAATATTTGCAAAGGTATAGTGTCTGCGCGGCAAAGGGTTCTCAAAACACACGACGAGCCGAACGTCCTCTGGAGAGGTTTGTGGCAGAAGGAAGAGGGGTGGGAGACCCCCGGACTGCCCTCCGGGGTATTTTTCCTCAAAACTGGGGTGGACATGCACAGTTAGTGGGACGGGAGTGTGCCTGTATCACCAACAGTAAAATTCTGGTGTCCCACCGACTGTTATCTGTACCTGTCTTTAGTCACTTAAATTGCCTATTGTTAATTTCAACTGTGATTTTTTTCGAAATTTTATAAGGCATGCATAAGATATAACATAGCATTGCTCTTTAGGCAATGTTGCCCATTGCTCTTTCCAACATTTGACCATTTAAGTCAAAGATTTAAATGGTAATTCCCTAAAAATAAGACCCAAATGAACTAAATATATAGAATCCCATCTCTAAAAGATCCCATCTCTAAACTCGCGAATTCAATCCGTCCCAAACCACGAAACGCAAACTCTTGACCAAACAAGGGTGCATAAAGAAGTGACCAAATAAGGCATGCATAATCGAAATCATATTTCGCCAAACACTTCGGAATTTTTTATTTTGTCTCTTGGCTGTGCAATTTATCATTAAGATACTAATAGTAACTTTTGGCATTGTTATGAAAAAAATTCATTTTCTTCGCCTTGATAGCAAGATTAGAAAATGGCTTTAATAACTGAGAGGAATACTATTATATGTAACTATTTGGCCGTTGCTGGCAACTAGCTTTAGGTAAGTCGTATGGAACCCTTTTTCCCATCGTTAAAATCATTCATAGTTTTTTCAAATGGCAACGGAAATTCACATGGTAGGATTGATAATGAGCTTCTTTTTAAACTTTTCAGATTCTCACTGCAAGTTATTTAATTTCCATACCATTTTAGCGATATATATTTTAGACTTTTTTTTTTTTTTTTTTTTTGCTGTACTTGAGTCAGACATACCAAGAAAATTGTAAAATATGATGCATGACAAATACATTATTTTGTTTCTTCATTATACAGCTCTGAAAAAGTTCTGTATTACGTAATGGCTGCCATCACATAATGTATTAAGTAATATTAAGTAATGGCTGCTATCACATAAACGAAGATAAGTGAAGCGCATGAAGTTATCAGAAAACTAGTAAAGCATATTTTAATATGAATTTTTAGAAAAGAATGGAACTTTTATTATTTATTATTTTAAAATAACTGTGTAGATAAGACAAGAGAACACAGTAACTCATTTTGTTTTTTACCTGAATGAAACTGAAATAGTTGGCTGCATGCATTTTTGTGATTTATTTCCCTTTTGTTAAACCCGTATCACACCTAGGAACGCGAAACGCAATAAGCAACTTTGTTTAGAAAGGCATCTCAGAATTAGTTTGAAGAGCAAATTTCTCTCTCTGAAGATTTTTACGAGGATTGGGGGAAAAGTTCAGTTTGACGCTATGCTTTGCATAGGTGAGGCATTATGGGTAGGAAGGATCAAAGGACTTAATTACGTAAAATTGCTAGAAAGTAAGATTCCTCGAAAAACTGCTTTCGACAGAGTGTTTTTTTTTTTTTTTTTTTTTTTCGGTTTTGTTGACCTTTCTCAAAGAGATTTAACTTAAATACGAGCTGGCGCACCTGGGTCCGAACGGTCGCTGAACACTGGAAGTCGCTGAACACTGGGTAGTTCGGTCCGAGGTTCAAATCCCGCGAACGGGCTTGGCTGCATGGTCGTTTTTATGGTGTAACGTGTATACGAGCCAGTTTCCCTTAGAAAGTTCTCCCTTCTCTTAGGCAGTTAGCCCTCGAGTGCTTTGCCATAGTCAAATAAACAAAACCAGCTTAAATGCGAGCTAGTTTACTTTCGACTGTGACATTTCTTCCGACAAGTGAATAATAGATACTGGGCCACCTAATTATTTACCTACACTCATGTCCATAAATTAAGGATAATTCGGAGTCACGCGGAAATCGAACTCTAAAATAAATATATCACCTGTAAAATCACTACACACATCTTCAAGTATCATATGAGAATTTCAGGAAGTAACCAGATGACACCGATGGTACGTCACAATGACGAGAGTGTAAGAGAGTGATATATAAGGAATACAGGCAAAGAAGTAAAATTATTCGCAAGCGCTTTATAAGCATTTCAGTGCAATAACCGAATAGTTATGACACAAATGACGCATTTGGATGATTTTTTACGTGGTAGAATTATCGGCCGTCTGGAACGTGGGCGTACCCAACTGGAAGTATCATACGAACTTGGAATTGCCCAGAGTGTCATCTCCAGGCTTTGGCAATGATTCCAAGATGATGGTAATGTGAGTAGACGTTACAGCACAGGTCCTTCCAGAGTTACAAAGCCGAATGAGGACCGGTATTTGGCAGTTACTGCCAAAAGAAACAGGCGGAGCACAGCCTCAGACCTGTCTCGTCAGCTCTCTTCAGCCACTGTTACGACAATTTCAAGGCAGACCGTGTAC